TCTTTATTGTCTGGGGGGGAATTGCCTGTGTAATTTCTTCTTCCTTGATACGATAATATATTGACCTCCCTCATTCAGTCAGAAGAAAGCAGGTTACGACGGCTTTACCCACCACCTACATGAAGTTTCATATTCTATCAGAAGAGAAACAAAGGGAGCCAGAATCACTTATACTTCACTTCCCCTGTGTTCTCTTTCAATGGGATCTGGAAACAAAGTGAAGTTATAAGGTTTTCCTCACCAAAGTCAGAAATGCTTTCAACAAAATAATAAAAATTTCTAGGCTGTTGTATTGCAGTCTTTTCATTAAGGGGGAGTGGGCTGTTGGTTATGTTTATTTTTAAGTTAAGAAGTTGCACTTGAAAAGTTTTAAAGGTATAATGAATATAAAAAATGTAAAATCTGCATTTATGAGGTTAACAAGGTAAACATGACAGCTTTAAGACTGTTTTTCAGCAGACTGTTTTGGGAACCTTTCTTGTATCCTCATCTTTCCTGCCTGGTTTTGATGGAAGAAATCCTGCTCACCCCTTCCCTGTGGGGCTCTGATGCACCCTGAGTCAGTGGTGCTACCACAGGCATCAAGTGAATGAGAAGATGAGACAAGATTTAAATCTGGACCTACAGACTGCTACCTTTAGCTATTTGCTTTAAAAACTTTACATCAGAAATAAATTAATACTTAAGAGTAAGGCAGTCATTAAAAAAATCCCTCCATCTTGTCCAAGTGTCCATCACAATTTGTCCATTTGTAATTGCACTCAAAGTAGGTGGATCAGCTCTACTGAAGGTAATAAAAAAGACCATACTTTGTGTGGTTCGAATCTCTCTGAATTCAAAATAATTACCAATGATGAAAATCTTAGCCCTTTGAAATCAAATGGAATAGATTTTTCATTAGGAAAGTAAATGCTCAAACTGAATTAAAAAAAAAAAATCTAAATTGTCAATACAAGGTAAAATGATTTTCTTCTTCTCGTTGTTTAATTCAGTGGGTAAATATATCCTTAGAGGGAAGCTGAACATCCTTTTGAGGCACAAAGTCAGGATTTTGATAAAAAGAAGCCCCAAATTCAAACAGTTATGTTTGCAATATGGGAGCTCTAGGAGTGAGAATAAATTGGGCCCTGAGCTGTACCACCTTAGTTTAGTAAAGCACAGATCTATCTAATGGAAATCTGGCCATGGAAAAAAAAAAAGCAAAACCAAACCACCCACAATTTGCTCATCTTTGGGGTTTTTTCTTCCTATTTTTTTTAAACTGCAGACATTTAATGCCATGCTTGTCTGAGAGCTTTTTCCTGTAGCTAATAATACTTTGCACTGCTGTAGTGCCTTTAATCCAAAGATCTCAAAGTGCTTTGCAGGCATTAATGAATTAAGCCTCATAACACCCCTTTGAAGTAGGTATTATTATAGCAGTCTTAGAGATGGGCTGAGTAATTTTCCTGAAGTTGTAGAGCAAGTCTCTGACAGAGTCAGGAATAGCCTGACGAAGTCCCGCATCTCAGCTGCTTCTCTAACCACCAGGCCATTCTCCCAGACTAAGTCTCTTAAATCATTTTAATTTTAAATAATTACTTTGATTTACTTACTGTATTTAAGTCATATCTCTGTTAAATACAAGGGGAGGCATTGATTTATCCTTAGTGGGTTAGGCATTCACTGCCTGTGAAAGTTGCACTGATAACGTGAAGTTAAACCGACACAAATCCCTGTGTGGGGATGCTCTCGTGGAGGGATAGGAGGGGCTTTTCAGGGCTTAGTTTGAGCCCCTGTCTTCACTCACACATACTCAGTACTGTACAGCTCCATCAGTGCTGCTGACACCCACCCCAGTCCCTGGTACACCAGTGCAGCTGCCTGAAATTACCAATGGCATTTTCTAGGGGTGATAGTTTGCACCATAAATGGTTCTTCATATGGTTGTAACTGAACCTATGCCAGCAGTTTACATTATTTGTGATACATCAGCCCTCCTTCCTCCTTCCTGACATTGTTAACTAAGACTAAACACATAGTCAGGACTTTAAATAAGTCCAACCTATCTCAAAATGCCATTCAAACTGCAGCTTGAATGGCCACACAGGGCTACGCAGGCAGAATTTTAACTAAACCTTAAATTTGTACTTCTAATCAGATTTTCAATTACGTATGTACCATTCTACTGCCATTAAGGCCCAGTTCTATTAAAAGGTTCCCTGCTTGAAGTATTTTAGTTTTTTTGGAGAGGTGTGACGTTAACCTCTTCCTAACAACTTGGCCATCACAGGCATGGCCATCACAGGCATGATTTTTTTTTTCCAAATAATTTTCCATTCTGCCTCTGGCAGTAAGTTTAGAAGGAACCTAAAAGGTAAATTGGTGAAAACCTGCAAATAACCAAACCCATAATCAATACATTCTTAATGGCATGACAAGCAGTTTGCTTTGATCAGGTTAGTGGGTCAGGAATGACCATTCCTTGGTCCTGCTGTCACATCACCTTCAGCCACGCAGTGCTGGTGTGGTGGTCACAGCCAAGTTCTCTGGACATACAGTGCTCTGGGCTGAATTTGGTCTGCGATGGAGAAGGACTCTAGCTGAGTGCTGCGTTCTCTCCTCATTCCCTCAGCCCCAAAACACCTGTTGTGCTCTGAGAAAGCTGCGTGGCCAGCACAAAAAAAAACCCAAAACCTGAAAAACCCCAAACCACTAAGGACTGGCTAATCTCTCTAAGTGCTGGATACAGATAGCCAGTTCCCTATGGCAGGATTTCCCCGTGGTCAGGCCGGACATGGCATAGCATGAGAGAGCTTGGGGAGGTAGGTGTGTGTGCATGTATGTGGGGAGTCAGAACCTGTGACCCAGCTGATCCATGCTGTAAGACCAAGACTGTGATAATGTCTGCAAAGTTCACATGACCAGAGGCTGGAGAGCAACTGTTACAGACGATACCTGGGCATCTGTAGGACTTCCTTTGCATTAGCTTTTAGCTCAAAATTTACTTAGAGGAGAAAAACACTCACTGCAACCCTGCAGTGTCTGTTGCAAATCTATCCCGGAGTGGGGAAGGCAGGCTGCCACCCCTCTGCCTTGCGTGGCCATGTTAGCAAGAAGGTTGTGCAGCTGAGGCACAGCTGATGCTCACAGAGTTGCCGACACTGCCAGCCTTCCTAAATTGGCCAAGGATGCTGTGATGTCATTTTCTTATTCCTGCACTCATTGTCAGCCTGCGAGCAACCTCTGATTTCAGTATGGTCATCAGTGCTACAGAAACACCAACAGACGTGAGCATAAGCGTCCCAGGGCTGAAATTAGCTACTCCGACTATCCCATGCCCACCAGTCTTGGGAATAGATTATTTTGATAAATACCTTCACAGGACTTTCTGTACCTTTACAGTATGTGCTTGCAACTGGTTGGCCTGACAGATGCTGCCTGCTCTTGTCCCACTTTGCTTTTCTACAGTGTTGCTGAATATTTATTAACTGCAAGCTTATTGACAAGCTCCTGTGCACTCTTTCTCACTGATGCCAAAGTCACAGCACTGTGCTTCCTCGTGAGGCACATACGCTTTCCGTAACCTTTCATGGCTTCTGTGGGGGGTCTTTTCACTTTCCTACACACATATAGCTCTGTATTTTACTTTCTTGGTAGGAATGCGCTAATTGTCACACATCTTTCTTTTTTAAATAGATTAATGTCATAATTATCCTCATTTTCTTCCTTCCTGCTACAGGCAATTGCTGGAATGCTTTAGCATTTTTTGAAAAAAAAACCAACAAAAAACAAACCAACAAAAAACAACCACCCAGAAAAAAACACACAATTTGTCTGGGGAAAGAATTGTTACCACTCCCAAGTCTAGGCCAAAATATCACTTAAGGACTCTAATATTTTTTTTTCTTTTTCTACTTCAGTTGCATACTTAGGGTTTAACTGGTCACTTCTGATTTTGCAAAGCTCAGTCTTACCCACACGTATGACAGTTCAGAGGTATTTTCAGCTTAGCTTTTCTCAGGTTCTCCCAGACATTTTTTCCCCACTCGTTCAGGGAATATTGCTGCTTCTTTTAGGTACCAGCCCAGCCACAAAGAACAAAAATGAGAAAGAAATTCTATGTCCCTCCACGCCAGGGACTTTTAAGTGGTTAAACAAGGCTGACTTTTATTGGCCTGAGCCTCACATTATATGGTTCTGCTCAGGCCCATTTCCACTTCCACTGGACAGGTGCCATATAGGTGCTATACGCTGCAGAAGGAACAGAATAAACCTCTGGTGTGCTGGTGTTTCAGGTGCCACCCTGCTCCTAGGAAGAGCACAGAGGACAACCTGGCAAGCAAGAGAAGCGTGGGCAGGTTCGTAGGACCTCCACCAGCTACCTCCTGCTTTCCCAAATATTGCCTTTTCCCTTTAGGAAATCTGGAACCATAGAATGGCATCTGTCAAGCCGTAGGCACTTGAGAGTAAGCACCCATCAGAATAACTTACTGTCAAAAACAGGTACAAATTCATTTCATCCCACTTTGTGCCATATGCTGCTGTCAAAACTTCATGAACTGTTTAGGCAGCATGTTGGGACATTTTGACTAACTATGAGCAGAGCTATTTTTTTCATAGCTTTGTGTCATTGGCGTTTATAATTGGGTATTTCCCAGAACTTCCTTTGGTCTCTGAACAGATAAGCCTGTAGAAAGTGAACATAGCTTTGAAAGGTGGGCATGGGTCAAACCTCTGGATTCACCCATCCCCATTTATCGTCCTGACAATGAACTGGAAATTGTGCTGTACCACGTTGCTCAGGGACCAACTTTTCCTTCTATTTTAATGCTAATATTTGAAAGACGGGGTGATTTTTTTTTCCCTGTGATTTGATGAAAACCTTGAATTTTGGATCAGACTAGTAACCTGAATCTAAATCTCATTTTCTGCTGCTTGAGCCCAGTTGTTTTGTTCTCTTGACAAGAAAATTAGCTAGCACACCCTTCACTATAATAAGTGGGAAACAGACCACAGGATAGGTAAAGAACACATTTGCTGTTTTATTGGTGCCTTGCAGGGCAATAATACTGAAAAAGGGGAATGCAAAAGAAACAAAAAACCAAAAACCAAAAACAAAAACCCAGGACGGTGGCAACCCACATTGTATTTTTTTTAAAGAGTACATCAACTCCTGTTTTTTTTCATTTATTGTGGCATGAATGATAACATAAAACCAAAACATGAAAATATACAACTTATATTACACTATGTGTTATGAACAAAATATAAATCTATAACTCTATGTTATATTTACATAATTATTTCTTTTATTAAATTTCAAGTGAGATGGTAGGTTGCACATACTTTGTTTTAAGCTCCAGGCATTTGATTGTCTCTATTTCTTTTCTATTTTCATTTCATATGTAAAATCCAAAACGTTAGAAGGAGTAAGAGCTTTAGAGCCAATGGAGCTATATAAATACTGTTTCAGCAAACCAGTGACAAAAAACACTGGGGAGTAGAGAAATCAGTCAGTAGAAAAAACGAACTTGACATGTTCTTCAATCTGGGAAACTGACAAGTTAAGATAAAGTTGAAAAAATGTAAATATAAACCAAGCTAAACAGCCAGCCCATGCCCTGTGAATTGAGGATACACTTGAATCCACATCTAGTGAATCACGTACAGTTCTTTGCAAAATGGAAGGTATGGTTCTACCGAGAAGTGGGCAGACAAAAAAACTTCCTATCCGATACATCATGCCCTTAAAACATAAGAAATACCATATAGTTGCCATTCATTCTAGCAGATGAATTCTTGCTAAGTAAGGTCTACGTTTCCACGGAGTATAATTATTTTTGATGTTATGAACGTGATGTCAGAGGCTTCTTCGGGGACAATAACAGCTCATCTCTTTGGATTAAAAAGAAAAAGCTCTGAAAATGTGCTGTAAAAAGGTTAAAGACAATTTACTTTCTAAAAAATGATTTAATTAAAGAGAGTCTACTGCAGTAACCAAATCTTTGAAATAATGTCTTCGAAGAAAGAATTTCTTCCATATGCATTTGTAATAAGAGGATTTGGTTACAAAACTAATTAAATGCTATAATAATAGCTAGTGTTCTTTTCTGGGGGCCTGATTAATATAGCGGAACGGTTAAATAAAGATGTTAAATGCACTTAAAAATCCTATTTTACTAATATAAGGCATGAATAAATTGAAAAAGGATATACTCTGTGTTATTTAATTGAGCTTAGAAGCAAGTGCCTCAGTTTTTTTTTTTCTTCTTTCTTTTCCCCCTTTCCCCACTGCTGGCGGTGTTCTTCTGTAAGCTCACAAGACGCACAGTGCAAGGGGCTCCCCCCCAGTTAGAAGGGGGTGTCCTGTACACCCCACCCCAGGCAGCTCCCCAGGAGCACCCTCGCTTTCCAGGTTCCCGGGGGAAGAGGGGAAACAGAGCCCGCCTTGGCATTAGGGCCTCGATGCTTTTAGGTTAATACAATCCTAATCTCTTCTAACCTGGTTTTTCTACATGCTCCAGGGCACAGAACCCAGGAAAAAAAAAAAAAGAAACAAGACAAGAAGATCTTTTTATAAATGCATGTTTTGCTTTGTTTGGTTTTTTGTGGGTTTTGTTTTTTTTTTTCCCTTAAGAAATTAAAAAGGGACAAACAGGGCCTCATTTTCAAATCTGGTCTTCTACTGCCGAAGGACACACAGGTGATCATCCTTGGACCCAAGAAAACATTAGCACAGGCTTTAAGTATTTTTCTGGTTTGGAACCCCAGAGCCGTTTTGCGTTTTTTTTTTTTTTCTTTTTAACATTTTCCTCTTTTGGCCTTTTTTTGTTGGTTTTTTTTTTGTTTTGTTTTTAACATTTCTGCATCGGTTTTCAACACCCGAGAAAGCAGGAGGTGGAGTCTGCTAAAGCCACCCTGGGGGGGGGAACCCCAGAGGAGTCTCTCGGATGGAAATGTGCACGGTGAGGAAATCAGCGTTCAGCTGAGCCCCAGCCCAGGCCGAGGTTGTGAGCAAAGCAAAGGGCTCCAGGAGAAGGTCCTGCTGCCCCTGCTCCTCCAGCACAGGAGCCACCCTGCCCCCGGACACCGGGCTGCCTCCAGGAGCGGCTCCTGCAGCGCAGCCTGAAGTTCAGGGCTGAAACTTGGTCCCGCTGAAGCCAAAGGGCCTTGTTCCCACTGACCTCCCCCAGGCCGGCTTTCCAGCCCCCCTGCTCCAATCACACCTGCCGCAGTGGCACCTACCTGGAGCTAAAACAAAGTATTCTGGTAGCCCAAAAGTGACACAATTAAACCATAGAGAGTCTCTATAACGTGGTGGAAATCAAGCATCCAGCAAATGTGAGGTGAACCCACAAGAGTCAGAAGTAATTTGTTCACAAAGACAGGGAACAAATTTAAAAGTTAAAAAAAAAAAAAAAGGAGCAATTATCTGTTTTCACATTGTACATAATAATGATATAAAAACAACTGTCTATTTTTTTTTCCTTCTTATCCAAACAGAGTGCTTAAAAAAATTGGCTCTAGATGACTGGTGTAATTAAATAACTAAAATGAGTGATGAGAGAGCAGAAGTTAATTAAGATTGAAAACAACACTCCCATTAATTCACTCCATCATAATAAACATCAGAAGTTGACATGGCTGGGGCCAAAATTAAAATAAAAGAAAGAGAAATGGTGTGAGCAGAAGAAGAAGCGATTTGTTTTCATATGTATATATATATATATATTTATATATATATAAAAAGGCAAGGTGGGGAGGGGTATCCATTTTAAATAGCCTAACAGCTTCATTTGCTGCACTGCCAAATTAGAACAGAATAAAATAAAGTTAAAAAGGGGGGGGTGTAAAATAAATTATACATAATTTACTAATCTGGGAACAGCTGACCATTATTATTATTATAATTACCATTACAACACTAGCAAGAAGAGGCAGTTCAACTGAAAAAAAAACAAACCAATACAGTCATAAAATACAAACAAAAAGAACCCTCTCTGACATGGAGGATATGATCAGCTACTCCAAGCATAATTTCAGAGCAAATCTTCTGAGAGAGAGAAAATAGAAAATAATTTTTTGAGGCAGAGTTGGAAAACAAAACAGGGAAAAGAGGAGAAAAATAAAACAGATGTTGCAGAGTAAAACTATCACGTCCAAACTGCTCATCGGAATATTGTCCTAACTCTTCAATAGCATTTGCTTGTTTGCTTTGCACAAGGTCTGCAGAGGTCAAGTTACACTTCAAGTGGGATTTCAAGAGGCAAAGAAAGGCATTCCCTCCCTTCCGGGTCTCTCCTTCTACCTGCCCCTTTCATCCTGCACCTGGCTGACTGCAGCGAGAGCTAAATTGCCTGATGAAGGGACCATTTGTAAAAGCAATGTTGCCAAATACTGATGACCAGGGTTCTGGTGAATGCTTGGGCTGGGATCTCACTGCCACTAAGACGCACAGGGCTAATTTTATAAGTTAGAGGTGATGACAACAGCAATGGATCTCTCTCTGGGAGTAGGAATTTACCAGGAAATAAAATAAATATAAAACTGGCATCCCCAGTTGGAAAACCAACTCAAGAGAAAGGCTTTTGCCTCAGTATGATCCTAAGACTTTCCTTTACAGGCAACAGAGCAGCTCTGGGATAGCTGCTGTTTGAAATTTGGAGTAGTATTTATGGTTGGTTGGTCAGTTTATCTAATGCTTCTGTCTTGCTACACAAACCAGGGAGGGTCCTCTTCTCCTACAGGAATATTACAGTGAGGAGATGAAAAGAAACTCTAATTAATTTATATTTATATTCTTTTTTTCTGCCCCCAAAATAAAGCATAACATTCAATTACATTATCAGAAATGCAAACTTCTGCTCAGGATTAGACTTGTGTAATTCCACCTTCCTCACCTGGTTGTCATTGCCCAAGGAAGACAAAACTGCACAAGCAACATATCTAAGTGCTCTAGAACAACTCTGAAAATATTTTAGCGCAGGAGAGTAATTTTTCGGTTGTGAGAGGCAGCAGCTGGGGAAACTCGGCACCACAAAAGGTTTGGGTTCTTACATGCCCACTTTGAATATGGAAATCTCTTCGTAGCTATTAGTCTTCCTTCCTACACAAACATCCCACAGACAAAAAAAAAGGATTTCTGCCAATGCAAAGGAGAAAAAAATGTCAGTTAAAAAAACCTGCCTTTTGAATCAGAAATCAGTACTCAGCCACCCTGAAGGTACGAGTTCATCAAAACTGGACATGGTTGGCGGTAATCTAATCATGCTCAGTGAGGAAGTAACATTTCCAGTTGCCCTGTCCTGTGCAGAACAAGCCACATTTTGGACAAGCCTTTTTTATGTCATTTATTATGCCACTTGAAGTGTAAACTAAAAGCAAAGGCTCCTTACAGACCAAGTCATTTGGAGGGTGCAGGACTTCATTCTGGATCATGCTTTTTGCTCACAATAGTCCAAGATTATTCTTATTAGTACCATAAACACGCACACATGAAAATCCAAGACCATAAAATATTTTTTCTCTAAATTTCTTATGTCTCTCTCTCTCTCTCTCTCTTTTTTCACCTGAGAACGGCACCTACAGTTTCCTTTAAAAAGCAAAACCAAAACCGAAAAATATATGTCTAATCTCACCAGCTGCTGGTATATCAGGTTCTTCGAGGGATTGTCTAAGATACAACACTGTCCTAACTTAAGACAGAGCAGAAAGCAAAGAAAAAGCAAAAGAAAAACAAAACAAGAAGAGAGCAACCTAAAAAAAAAAAAGCAAATTGGACTAGTTCAGCGCTTTAGTACAAATTTGGCACTTGCTCAAAGACTCAGTATGGTGTGCAACTGATGAAGAGAAGTCCTCTCTTGAAAGGAAATAATTGCTTGTTGGGGTTAACAGAAACAGACTCCCCACTTCCCTCCTTGCCAGCCACGCGCACAGGCACGCACACACGCGCGCACACACACACACACACACTTCTGACCCAGATTTGACAGGGAGGAGGGGGAGGAGGAGACAGAGGGGGGTTAAAAGGAATTTTATCTTTTTTCTTTTCCTGTCAGGTGCATTACCAAAAAAAAAAAAAATTATTTCTCTTTAAACTGTAGCACAAAACAACAAAACACATTCACAAGCCACTTGTTGGCACTGTGTACCTGAGTGAGAATTTCTAGAACATTGTAGAACAAACAGCCATAAAGTTTATTTGAAAAAAAAATAATAATAATAAAAGGTCGACGGGTAAGACTTCAGTGCTTGGGTATAGCAGCTGAATTACTGGCATTATTTTACCCATAGCTTATATCATTCTGTTGTTGTTGTCGTCGTTGTCTTTGTTTCCTTTCTTCTGAGCCTTTTTTCTTCTGATGCAGGCTGATGTCTATTAGTCAGCTGATGTCCCAACTAGTTAAGACTAACAGTTAAAGTAACAGTCAGTGTATGAGAAAGTTAATGTGCTTGGCCACTGGCAAGGATAAACCAGATGGGGCTTTATTTATTTTTTTTTCTTTTCTCCTTGAAGTCCTGTAGGTCACGAGATACTTGGACCCCGATCAGTTGGCTTGCCCCGCAATGTGATTTTCACTGTCACTGCCATAGTCCGCATCGGGGTCATCCTCCTCCTCATCGTATTCATCGTAGATTTCTCCATTGACGTCGTCGGTCTGCATCTCCTCCTTGATATGAGGCTCCTCGCCTTTGATGCCGTAAGTGCTCTGGATGACGGGCATCCCGGGCTCCGGGCTGCTGGACACGCTCGAGTGCTCCGAGGGCAGATGTGGGGAAGGCATTCCTGCCATGGCAATGGCTCCTGGGTAAACTACGCCCGCGGTGGCAATGGGGATCTGTGCTTGTTGCCTGCCACGGAGAAAAAGCAAAAGGATGTTTGAGTACTGGAAGGAGTAAAGGGATGGCAAGATCAACAGCAATTTGCAAGCCCATAGCATATATTCCTGGGTATGTAGAGAAAGTCCCTAGATGGCCCATGTAAGACAGCCTTTATATCAATATTCCATCATCAACTGGTGCTCTAGAAATGAACAGTAAGCTCAAACCAACTTCACTGATAAAAAAAACTCTGTAAACATCTCTAGTTGTACCTGCACTAGTTCCAGCTTGCCTGCTTGTGAGGCAAACTTCTTTTCTGGGTCAACTGGGTGTCCCATGAGCTGCCAGTCAAAAATAAACTTCCTTGCAACTCTGGTCCAACTTAAAACCTATGTATTTTGAAAATCTTCCTTTTAAATAATCCATTCTTCGGACAGGACTAGACATAAAGGTAATACATTGCCAACAGCAAAGATGGAGCAAGGACTGGGTAAATTGCACAGGAATGGGGAGGTGCTGTAGGAAAATACCAATGGATGAGGAGAAAGCAAGGCAGGACTCTCCAAAGAGTCAATGCTTACTCCACATTCACTCAGAGACCTGGCTACTATTAGGGAGAGGAACAGTGAGCTTTCTGGGGCCAGCATGGGTTTACAGGTTGATCACTGAAGGCCTCCTGCTGGAATGTGACAGTTTCCACTGGGAGCGGCCCTTGTGAAAAGCAGGCTCTTTGAAGGAAGATGGATAAAATTGGGAAAAGGCAGACTTAAAACGGAAGCAGGCATTATTTAAAAATAAATAAAAAGCAAGCAAGCAACATGAGCATTTGAGAAAATCCTCTACAGGATGCCTTTATACGGCGTCTAAGCCTTGGAAACCTGTCTGCAGTAATGAAAGAAGAATTATTCCAGGCCACAGAAATTCCCTTTGCATCAAGAACACTGGCTGTGTTATACTAGTGTTTGTTTCCCTGAGAAGCTTCAGAGTCCCAACAAGCCTAGAGGTTTAAAATTCATGCTCCTTTTGTTTCCTTGCTGCATGAAGTAATTCCATTGCAGTAATACTCTTCAGTACATGCTGCACATTGTAATGTCATCAGCGGTGTGTCCATCTGCACTGAAAAGCCTTGCCACAGGAGACAGGGCAGAGTCTCTTGAGATGAACATTCTTAATTAAGAATGAAGCCCTCCCCTGTTCCCCTGCCTGCCTGTGCCCTGGCTGTACAGTAAGCCTCGCACAGTACAGTGATCCTGAAAGACTTTCCACTGCCAAACAGCTTTACATTTGTTTGGAATCGCTGCTGCATTTTCAGATACTTCCTGCCTGCCACTGGAGTGAGGCCTCCCTCCACACAGCCCTTATTTCTGTGTTTCTGAAACAAGTCGAAGTTGTCTCAGCTGAAGATACAGCTCTTAAAGTAGGGAGTGAATCTAATTTTCATTTTATTCTTAATTCAATAGGAAGACTTTTGTTTTCTGGAGTCAGCATTTCTGCAACAAGATTCAGCACACTTAAATTGCTTTTAATATTTAACAATAGGAACACTTTGCACTTAAATGGTGCTTTTCAGAGTGCTTTTCAAATATTAAATAATTTAAGAATGGTATTTTTCCACCTCTGTAGGATGTCCAGCCCAGAAGTTCTTGCAGCAGTCCTCAGATACTAATGTATAAGGGCTCTCAGCAGTCCAGTGAGGTGAGCTTGCCACGCCACCCACTGAAGATGAAGACACTGAGATAGGAAAGCATTAAAAAACACCCTTAAAAAGTCCTTCCCACTGTGATGCCTTCAGCATGCCCCAGCAGCCGGCACAGCCACAGCTCCTGTAAAACAAATCACTTATTGTGGTGCCCAGGCAGGAGCTGGGCTGGTGTTTAGAAGTTTGCCCTAAATGACCTGTACTGGGGGATGCAAAAGATGGGGAACTAAAACCAGGAACTGGAGTGCCATGACTGCTGGCATCACACACTGACCCCACTGCAGCCATTGGCCACTTTGTCAGTAGCTTCTATAGAGATTTCACCCCAGGTTCTATGCCCCTATGCCCCAGTGCAAATTATCTCCAGAAATGTCTTGATTTCAATGTCAGCCTTGTTTGGAAAGCTAAACAGTAAGCAGAATGTTACAAGGTTAATTTTTTTTCCCATGATGAGGCATGCATGTTAACCAGATAAGCAGTGTTTTGGGGGCTCTGTTGCCACCTATTCTTTTTCCAGAAGGCCCCCTCCTCTTTTTTTAATCTCTTGATGCCAAATGTTGGCTGACTTCCCTGTGTTTGTTTCAGTGCTTACCATTGGGATCACTGGACCTGCCAGCACCACAGGGTTAAGCAGCTCAAATTTCTCTGCTGAGCGGCTTATTATAACAATGCACACTGTAGCTGTTTTAAACACAGTCTGATGACACTTAGCAGTTGCTGGACAGATATTCTCTCCTTTATTGCTACTTCTAGCAATTAACTAGAGAGATGTGCTACTCAGTTAAAATTAAAAGGATTCAAAATTCAGATGAACAGAACATATATTTCATTATTTCAGAGGGTCGCTCTTGTTGCTGCTTTTGCTCTTTTTAAAACCACTGTGTAGCTTTTAATTTTCAGGGGTGAATACAGAAATACTGTGGAATATTTGAGTACTTCCAATTCTTTTTGATCTGCTGTAGCCAAAACCAAGGAAGGTTTCCTTCTCTGCAGAAGGCAAATACATGCTACTCTTCTAGGCAGATATTAATCTAATCATATCAAGTTGACCTATTAGCTGTTTATCAGAACTGGTCTTCTTAAAATTTATGCTCAACACAAAGCATTTAGCTTACTGCTATAAGACACTCCCTAGTATAACAAATGCTATCACAATGAACAACGCAGACAACTTCATGCCTGATATGAATTAACTGAGCCAAGTCCACATTCCAGCTCAAGTAAAGTGTGTTCAGCAGTCCTTTCTGCAAACCACTTGTCACAGATCATACTGAATGCAAACTTGTAATTTTGGCTTTTGGATCATGAGGCACTACCACAGATTCATTCAGATATACTCTCTCAGGCCTCATAATAAAGTAATAGTTATAAGGCTTTATTAGAAGACTTACGTTTCATTGGAAAATCTTAAGCTTTTTTTTTTTCATGATCAGAGTGGAAACGAGACACTTGGCTGAGGCTTTAAGATGAGCATATAGCAGAGCCAACAAAAAGATCCCTAACTGCCTAACTTCCGCCTGGAACACGCTGTTATAAAGTTTAAGCTTCATTTTCTGCTGGCAATATCTAATGTTCCTGCCAATAAACGATAACATTTACCACACTGAATTAACAATTCTCCCTGAATTTTTTTTTTTTTTAATGAAAAGAGCAGTAGCTTTTAAAGGTCCCATACCCAACATTAAAATACTGCCTCATCTCCTGGCGTCTGTTGCGCATGATAGCCTTGTACTCGCCAATGCGTAGTTTTTTGCCATCTACAAGGCAGGTACGCTTCGGCCTTGGCTTGTATTTGTAGTCTGGGTATTTCTCCAGGTGCTGTTTGCTGAGTCGGGCCTGCTCCTCATAGTATGGCTGCTTCTCTAGGTTTGTCATAGCTTTCCAGCGAGATCCTGTCACCAAGGGAAAAAAAAAAAATTAAAAAAAAAAACCAAAGAGATTCTACTCATCCCCAAACACTGAAAGGCAGAGAAACAAGTAGGTCACCCAGAACAAGATACCTACGGTCATATCGCTTTGGGCTGGGAATCTGTCAGAGCTTCTAGACAGGGGTCAGGTCTTGTTTGTATTTTACTGGTAAACCTCTTGGTTATGGCCAGGAGGCAGAGACGGCACTTGAAGTTTTGACTCAATATTTTATTGAAATTTATCTACATCATAATGCCTTTCAGGTGGGAAGTAAAACCATTATCCTGATAACGGGCAATCACTGACACTTTGTTTTAGAAAACAAAGTCGCATATTTTAGAGGAATGTCCAAAGACCCCTTAGATACACAGAGTCTGGGCTGCTACGTCCCCACACTTTTCCTTGGCCATGGGCCTGTTTTCACCTCCTGTCCAGAGGAGGCACCACTCCTGTGCTGCCATCTAGTCACAGTGATCCACCACGGCTGGATCAAGGCATGAGCTTGGGACTGTTCATGACAAACACGGGATCTTTCTGGCTTCCAGGTTTATGAGAAGTAGAAGTGATTGTAAATGCTATGCAGTCAGGTACAGGAGCCTGCAAAGAGCCTGAAGCAATGCCTCTAAAAGCTATAAACTATGCCATATGTTTCATCAGGGTTTTAACTCCAAGACCAAGTCCTGGGGAACGCTGCCAGCTCCAGCTTATAGAATTTAGTGTGTGTCATGAAGGGAAGAGCACTGGGATACTGGCACACCTCTGTGCAGAGTTGCACTATGGCTTCATTGCTGGCAGTCTTGTTTTCTGCCTATGTTAATGTGGATAACTGAGCTAGGCATATAATGAGGACTTTGCAACTGTTTTCGAATACCTCCTGAAAGTCATAAACTAATATTTCTTAAAGGACATAAATATGAGAGCTGAAAGTAAAACTTCTTGAATCAGTTACCCTATTTTATTTTCCCATGAAATATGGAAGTGCTTCAGGCTAAGATACATTTCAAGTAACAGGAATGATCCAAGCTGTGAAACATGTGGCCTAGAAGGAAAACTTTATTGGAAAATAGTCAATTTTCCCATTGGAAAAAAAGTTTGAATAGTTTGTCAATGTAATGGGTTCATAATGCCATATCTCATACTTGACTTCCTCTTGTTCTTCGTTTTTATGGTTACTCATACTGTACTTAGCTCATGCTATATTACTCAGGCTGGTCTTAGCTCACTGTGCCCCCAAGACTGGCAATATAGAGAGCACAGTTACCCCTTCCCAGGAAAGAAAACAGTTTTATTCACTCTAGGAAGGTCTCTTCTGATTATTGACACGATTTCTCCCATTGCTCTTTGAATCTTTTCTCCAGAAGCCCAAACTGGAGCATGGAATAAAGGGCTGGTACAGCCTGATCTCACACCTAGAGATAAGCGATTTGTAAACAGTGACGCCTTCATTCTGAAGACAATGGACATCTCTTTCTTAACAAGCACTGATTTGGAGACAAAACTGTCATTTGTCATGATATTTACAACAGGTAACATGCAGAGATCCCCCAGCTAGTCCTGGAATGGGAAGCAGTTTAATGACATTGTTATTAGCTTAGGCACAGCACCATACCAGCATGACTAGGTGGCTTCTAGGATTTGGACTGAAACTCCTGCACGGCTCTTCGTATGCCATACTGAGGTAGTGTCTGTACAGGGGGATCTGTGACTGTGCTCTGTATTACACAGAGCAGCAAAGCTCTGCGGACAGAATCACAGTCAGCAGCCTTGTCTCCCGCAAAGAAATTATTCCAAGCTTTTTCTGGCAAAGAGAGCGGCTAGAAAAAGTGACACCAACTTTCCACATATAGTACCTCCTAGATTTTGGGCTGAATGACACAGTGGTAAACATGTGGAGATTGCCAAAACACTGCACACCTCCTAATGCTGCAGAAGATGGAAACATAGATCAGGCCTGTGTTGAACGATGTTAAGAATTCAGGATAAAACACGCAAGCTCTACTGGAAGATGCCCAGTTGTGGCTCTGCTTTCAAATTCTACCTCACAGACACTGGCATACTGGTGTTTCAGCATACAAAGAAAATCATAGCAGTTAATCTAAAGCTAGAGTCCTCTAATCACAGACCTGCTGAAATCCTAGTGGCTTAGAAAACCTGCCCTAGCTTCTTTTCCTGCTGCTCAATCACTTATTTATGAATAGAAAAGTTGAAACCCTCAGTCTTTAAACAAATCTTGACATTTGCTTTATATGCTGTGAAGGGATCTGCAGTCTAGGAACTCAGACGTATTCTGAGACAGACAGGTGGACAGAAAAGCAAAAATTGAAGGCAGTTGTTGCAGAACTGCCATGAAACTGCTCTATTCCAGCACGGTTCCTGTTCTGTTGTGTTAGTTCACTTGCTGCAATCCTACAGTCAAATCTGGGCATGCAGATTCCTACCTCCTAATGTGAAAAGATCCATAAATAGTGGGTGAAGTTAGGCAAACACACACATCTTTGCAGGATCAGGGCCATAAAAAGTGAAATTTTGATGCATAATATTGGTACATACAGTTACACATATAATATTTATACATAAATGTAATTTCTGATGTTTTTCCTTCCTGAGCTGCAAACTGAAAACAACAAAAATCCTGGCAGTTTCACCTCTCTTCCTAGAAAATTTTTAACAGCTGCCTTCTGCAGTGATACCTCCTCTTACTATGACTTCAGTGTTTTTACAAAATATACTAAATATAATTTACTAGTATGTTTTGAAGTATCATACATAATTAAACAAACAATGTCGTCAAATTTTAAAAAAGGGCACATTTTCTGTTGATAAACCCTTGTTATGTACATTTTATCATTTTCCCTTCTTAGTCATATACATAATCCAACCAGCTCTCTGACTGGTCTTAATCTGAAATTTTCAAAGTCTGAAGAATACATAACTCTGCTCTTTGAATTTGAAGCAACAGCTCAAGTTATGAATGAGTACTGCCAATCAACATACTAAAACTGGTTAAGAATACCTTATGTTTGGACAAAATACATTTGTAATAGCTTTATCTCTCATTGTTTTATGTGTCTATAAATATACACAGGCAGGCATGGGTACCTATGCACAATGCCAAACCCAAGCCCAAACAAGGTATGATCAAAGAATCTTGAAAAATCTTTTTTTTTTTAAGGGAAGATTTACACTCTTGGGTGAGCTTTCTGCTCACCATCTGTGTTGGAAAGCTTTGAGTGGGTCAAGTATGCAAGGCTTTCTCCTTGACTATGAAAACAAGAACCTGTTCCCCTCTCTGGATGAATACATAATGACAAGCGAGATTCTTGCACAATTCTCTCTGATCTGGTGGCTGAAATATTTAGGTAAAAAAAAAAAAAATAAAATTTACAAGACTTCAGTACCAAGCATGGCTTCGGTCCCCAAAGTGAGGCAGGGCAATTAGAGCTATGCTCACATAGCTATGTGTGACTGTGAACACATCTGGAGAGGGCAAATATTAGAATCCAGGGCAGAAATGAGATGCCCTCATGTATGCACAGACACTTTTGCCCAGGCACACATGTGCCTGCATGTTCAGAGCTTTGCTTATTGCTGATTTTAAGCCAAGTTTATCTGATAAGAATTTTCAGCTGTTTGCAATATTCTCTAACTTTTAGTCCATCAGACTGACATTTTTCAATCTGAGTACCCGATTCAGGCTGATTTTATGTTTAATAAATACCCTCACATACACAAACAGTTGTATAATGTATAGGTACATGTATAGGCTTGTATTCACACACTTACACATCCCGAGAGAATTTCTGAAGGCAGTGTTTAACTTCACTGTTTCCTAATATCTTCATGTAGATTTCTCAGTGAAATTAATTAAAATATTTACAAAAATATCTAAACAATGCATTATTAAATTGATAGGGTCCAGCAGACCCACTTCAGCACTTTTTTAACAATTTACTAAAAAAAAATCATTATCTGCAAGTTTAAGTTGCAATGAACAGATGGATGACAAACGTATGCACAGATGAATTTAGTGACAAATCCGTGTATCTAATTTTTATGCTCAAAACATAATACCACAGTGTCAAACATAATCCCTAGAGAATTCTAGTGCTGGGAAGGGCACCTCCTCTCATTTTACTATAAAAATGACCCTCGATCAGTGAGAACTCTATCTAAGCTGCTCTCTGTGACAATGAGCTCTCTGACCTCAATGTGTAGCAGTACTGCTGGAAAAATGGGAAGGAAAAATTGTGGCTTTCTAATAAGGAGACCCTGATACCTGGCTGAACCGTAAGCTTCTAGTTGCTCACCCTACGCCAGTTAACAGACAGCTCCCTGCTGACTTCAAAAGACTGGCCTTTTGCAATTGAGGGAAGACCTTTGTAACGTTTCTGTCAAGAAGGAAGACGTCAGGACATCCCTCTCCATTGCAGAGGTAGAATGAAAAAATTAAATGTGATGCTGGAAAGAAATAGAAACATCATCTCTCACTGCCTCAGACCTTGCTTTTCCCCATATCTGGCAGCAAAACAGAAAGAGTTTGGAGTCAGCTATACTGTCTGTCACCTCAACAGGATCTGTAATGAATTTGCACATTTTACTCCAACTACTGTATATCTAATCAGAAAAAGATGTCCCCATATCTTCCTGATCTAGTGCCAAATAGTAAAAGGTGATTCCTTATGTTAACAATTTCAGCAGAATGGCTTATTAAAACCAGATTTTAGGGTATTATAAAATGCTTAGAAGCCCTTTAAAATGTCAACCAGGATCCCCAGAGACTGCGTAAAATGTCAGCCCAGCTCAAGCGCCTGTTTTAAGCAGAATGAATTAGCAGCGTGCTGTCGGAGGTTGTTATCCAAAACAATCAGTTAAGAGGGAAAACATCAAGCTCTCTTTGTACTTTCTATATGAAAAGGGCCATTCAGAATGATCTTGTAGATTTCTGAAGCTGATTATTTAAAAACAGGTTTAACCAGGTCTACTCTCAATTTAGAAACAGACCAAAACTATTACTGCCCTGTCCTCCGGCTAATCACATCATACACCTCTGACCAGTATAATCCCTTTTAACCAGTATAAGATTATTTTACCATCAACATAACCAATTTAGCCTTCTAATCCTGTTCCCATAACTAATCTAATCATTTTGTGCCACCCTTTAAATCACGGGTTAATATCATCACATCTGCCATCCACAGCAATACATTCTGCCACTCCAACCAATTTATCTCATTTCCACTTGCCCCCTGCTAACTTTTCATAATACCACTCTCATCAACACAAGCCTCAAACCTCTGACCAGTCTAAACTCAGCCTATTTACCAGACCTGCAGCTGGTTAATGCTGCCATTACATTTCTTGAGTAGTCTGCAAAACCACTGAGACCTGCAGCCCAGGTAAACATGTTCTCTGCTTAGCCACTGGCCTGAGGGGTGCTTAGGTGCTGTAACAGTTTTTCTCAGTAAAAATTCAACATCTCTAATTTGGTCACAGATTATTTTTTTTTTATTTTTTTTTTTTTCTCCAGAACAGTGATTCATGGGCTTCAGAGAGCCTTATCAGTCACCTGCTGTATCATTCAGCATGTCACAGAGGAGTGACTTTGGACAGAACATGGTAGTGAGAATCTGAGCAAGTAGTGAAAAGTTGGAAGACTATGGCATGAGATTCAGTAGATGACATTCATCACAAATATTACTTGGAATGTAAAGGGCAGAGGATATGGAAACTAGATCTGATGTTTCTTTTTTCTTAATTTCAGGGTTCTTATCAGACTATGGGAGAATGAAAAACCACCACTGTAGGAGAAGATTCAATTTGAGAACCTAAAGGTGCACAAGTCCATGGAACCTCCATGTCCATGGATCCTGAGATGCATCTGCAGGTCCTGAGGGAACTGACAGGTGAACTGGGGTAACACTGCTGGTGGACAAGGGAAGAGTGACCAACGTCATCTACCTGGACTTGCGAAAAGCATTTGACACTGTCCCACATGGCATCCTTATCTCTAAACTGGAAAGACGTGGATTTGATTTACGGACCCTTTGGTGGATAAATAATTGGCTGGATGGTCACACTCAAAGAGTCGTGCTCAGCAGCTTGATGTACAAGTGGAGACAGAAACTTCTATGGCACAAATCAAATACTGTAGTGTGCTACCTCAGAGAAACTAGATTGATGAAATATGTGGGCAAATAAATGACAGCAATTATTTTGTGCTTGTTCAACAGCCTAATGAAATGAACTTTTTGTCTATTCAGTTCATGTTTTCAAACCAAAATTACCACCACAGTCTCAGTAATTACAAAGACACAAGAAGATGTCAGGTTATGCTTAATGCATACTGCCGGGTAGCACAGCGGAAGCTCATATCACTTTTGTCCTTGGTGCAGTGATGAAGCTGCACAATAGAGAGACAGCACTTCCGTTGTTTCAGGTGCTCGGCTCTATTAATTCAAAATATTTTTGAGTTTTGCTCTGAAAGAACAGTGCTCTATCACTCTTACCTAATATCTTGCTGATGTTGGAGTTGTGCATGTCGGGGAAGGCTTGAAGGATCTTCCTCCGTTCGTCTTTAGCCCACACCATGAATGCGTTCATTGGGCGCTTGATATGGGGTTCATTGCTACCGCGCCCTCTGGATTCCCGATAAATTCGAGACTCTGAGACTCCTGCACTTCCTAAAAAGAAAGAGAAAAACATTCCCAGCTTGTTTTTCGTTATGCAGCTACCTCTGCCTTTAGTAACCCATGTGAGGTGCTGCACATTCAATGAGTCCATGTTCATAATTGGTTAATGTTAAATATATTGTATATTGTCTAGTTTAATTACTCTGTTAATTCAGTATCACATAGCATAGACTTGATGAAGACTTTAGACTGGTTTTTTTCAATACAAGGCATTAAACAGCTTTTCTAAAACATCTTTTACTGCTCAATAACGTAAAGCCTATATTTTTCAACATAGATTTACTTTTTACTTTCTTCCTTTCTTGCTTAGAGAATGCATATGTTACCCATCTTCTACCTTTTTTGTGAGCGAAAGGGAGTAATATACGGCAACATCAAGCATTTCTTCTTAAGCAATTCTCTAACTAGCAAAAAAATACTTACATATCTGCCTGGCTTTGTGCTGACATCTCCATAACAATATATGCAATAGCAGAGAAACAAACAAACATTATGCTTGCTTTATCAAACCAATAAAGTTCCCACAGATTCAGAGCACGCAACACTTACGGAGGATCAGGTCTACACTTCTGGGATTCCCTGTGTGATCTCACTTATAACACATATATTTGCCCTCTTTAGTCCCTTTTACTATCAGAAATACATTCTTTGTCCCTTCTTGAGACCTTCAGTGTACAGAGGGAAGGCTAAAAATCAACCTCCAGACTTAAAACGCCCCATGATGAATCACTTTTTCCTGCCTTCTTTCACAGTCGCTTATTGCTAACTGCTCACAGGCCTCCAAAGCACTTGGATTCTCCCCCAGATCCCGCTGATACGCACACACAAACCTGGAAATTAGGATAAGCCATTTGTACTGACCGTCAGAATCTCCACTCATGTTGAAATCCATCATTGCGTGGCTAAACTTTCCGTCTTCGCTCTGTTTTACTGCCAACTGCTGAGTCAGGGTCTCCAGTGTTGTTTTGTCCTATATGGGCAAGATGACGGGATTTGGATCAGGAAAATAATTAAACGTTGCAATCACAAAGTTCATATGTAATTTAGAAGGTTGATAGGGAAGCTGGATAACCATTCACAACAGTTTACTGAGCCAGGTATTTAACAATACATAATAATGTTTTTTCTGGAAGAGATATGGTTGCAGACTCTACCGTAAAGTCCTTTTTAAAACTTGCTTATTAGCTAGTGATGAGCAAACTCCATAGTGTTGAAAAGATTGGTTAGCTCGGCATGATAAAATTGGCTGCACATCTGAAGAATATTTCAACTCTCTATGTCCCTGGGACTGCAAAGCTGGATTCAAAGTTTAGATGATACACACTCTTTTGCAATGTATTTATTGTTTTATTCTATTTCCAGCCTGCAATCAAAGTGCAGGGACATGCGTGACTTTCCCTTTTTTTTTTTTTTTTTTTTTTTTTTAAAGCTGTATTTTAGGAAGCAGCCCGTAGGGAAAAAAAAAACACCCTGCAGTTCAAACTTATTCAGGCCTTGGGAAAGGGTCAGCCTGAATTAAGCACGATACTTGGGCAGCAGTTTGTGTTCTCGTCCAGACTGTTTTGCCCAACCCTACTAACACCCCGTCCGTCATTCATCTAGTCAGAACTAACTGTGAACCCTGGATTGCAACAGGCTAGTGTGTGCTGCCAATTAATCTGTCAGGCTGCAGTGGTGTCTAAAGACATTGCCAGAACAACATGCCAGGCCCATTAATTCCAATGTTCTCTTCAAAACACCTCGCTTCCCCCTGAATTGTTTGACTTTACAAATACAAAGGTGTTCCATTTTCCAACTGTTTTTGTTTTCCCAATGACTTTTGCTCATAAACATTCTATCTTCCTGACAATCATATGTTTAAAAATAAATCTTTCAGGGAAGCAATACTAACATTTCAAAATGTTAGGCACTGTGCCTTTTGCAAAGCTAAGAAAATGACATGATACAGCATGATAATAAAGTGGCTCCAGTCAAAAAAATTCTTTTGAGTTTCTTCCTGAAAGAAAGATCACTGTTTCCTTGCTCTATTCCACTCCTGATGACTGTAAAAGATCAATAAACTAAAAAAAAAAGTTCAGATTTCACACGGCAACCAGAGACTTTGCAACTTCTGTGTAGCCTAATAATGTCACTGGGTTATGTTACAGAAGAAAACAGAACAGAGAACAATGCAAATACAGAAACGCTTCCTGCGATGTGATGTCCCTGCATCTGCAATTCAAAGAATGGTTCAAATTCATGAAAGTCATTGAAGAAAGATTTTCTCAAGAGAGTTAGAAACAAGGCTAATCTGCTCAACTTTGTATGCTCACAGAGTTTAGGGAATATGAGGTTAACTTTCCTACTCCTCACATTCATTTTTGTTGCAGATCCCTTTCGCACTCCTGGTGCTCTGTCTATACCCTGACGCGTCACCAGGGGAAGTGTGCAAGATGAGTTATCCTCTTGGTTTTTTAAGGAAAAGCTCATGCAGCAGAGTCAGCCTATCACAAGCAAAAGGGCTTCCATAACACTACCAGGCACAGAGATCCAGAAAGCTTGGACAAGCTTTGAATAAGCACCTGAACTATTCAGGCATTTAGCTTTACCAAACTCTTTGATCTATTGGTTTTAACTCAGTTCTCATTTCCAAAGCAACCTGTCAGCAGTCAGAAAGTCAGGAGTAGGTTGACCTTGTACTTCTTCCAAATGGATCACAGATATATCATGGAAATCAACAGTTTTTCCTCAGGGGGAAAAAAATCTATTTACCATCAACTTCACAGTGCTAGAGTTCAACAATTTTTATGTCAGAAATCATTTTAAAATGCTGTCACCAACCTAAAATATAAAAGAACATTTCCTCTTTTTGGGTATATCAAGGGGGAGGGGAGTTATTCTGTTGCAGACTTTTCTGGAATCACGCATAAACCTCTTAGAGAAACAGAGCCGAGAGCGCAAAGGGCACAGGCTTAACAGCTTTTCCTTTATGCAGTAAACGCAGCTCTTGAAGTCGGAGGCAGTTACATTCAGAACCACACTCTGCCAACATGATCTGATTGAGTCTTAAGGTCAGCGAATACTCCGGCATGCTGTCTGCAAGGTACGCACCGCGTGCGGCTCGTTTATCAGAGTCTGACTTAACAAGCCTACAGATGCTCTGCCGCTATCCATCTTAGGCAAAGTTTTGCATTTTGAGGTACAGCCACATCAGATGAAGTGAGAGAGCACAGGCATGATGGAAGAGGGGCTGAGAGGGAATGCCAGAAGAGTGCTGAGCTCCTGGGATGCTCTGTACGGCCCCGCGCTTGGAGATGGCTCTCCGGAGAACTGAAACATGGGTAAGCGGGGAGACCACCCTTCTAACACAGTGACAATTTTACTCCCTCCTGCTTCAACGTAGGGAATGACAATATAATTCAATCAGCAGTGATAAACTGGCAGTTAAAAAGACCTTCTCCATGACGTTGCTGTTGAAACAGAGGAAGTCGAAGCAGCCAGTTGTACTTTTCTTTGTTGATGTTTAGAAATGTTTAAGTATAAAGGCATTAATAAGTCTGTTCTTTCCTGAGCCTCTGCAACTGCACTTCTCCTATGAGGAAAGGCTATGAGAGTTGGGATTGTTCAACAAGGAAAAGAGAAGGCTTTGCAGTGACCTAATTGTGGCCTTCCAGTACCTGAAGGGAGCCTACAAAAAAGATGGAGAGAGACTATTTAGAAGGGCCTGGAGTGACAGGACAAGGGGGAATGGCTTCAAACTGAGAGAGAGTAGGTTTAGATTGGGTATTATGAAGAAATTCTTTACTGTGAGGGTGGTGAGGCACTGGCACTGGTTGCCCAGAGAAACTGTGGATGCCCCATCCCTGGAAGTGTTGAAGGCCAGTTTAAATGGAGCTCTGAGCAACCTGGTCTAGCGGAAGGTGTCCCTGCTTATGGCAGAGGAGTTGCAAATAGATGATGTTTAAGATCCCTTCCAACCTAAGCATTAAAAAAAACCCCAAACATCAAAAACCACCCACCTAAAAACCCCCTAAAACAGAATTAGGAGAGCAGAAAGAGATCAGCAACACCCTGGCAGGATGCAAAAGCCTGACAATACGTAAGCAGCATTGTGATTTCATGCCCTATGCTCTTTCCATTAAACACCCTGCAGCTTATTTTCCCCAATTCTGACGTACAGAAACACTTCTACAATTACAAAATATTCAAAAGGGGCTAAGCAACATTCCCATGCTGTTTTGCTTGAAAGCAGTTCATTGATGACTTACTGTTTTTCTTTTGATGGAAGCATCTCCTTACCTTTCCTACAGAGTCTTCCAGTTTATGGAGGAAGCATTTATGGAACCTCCAAAGAAACAAAGGAGAAACTTTTGTCTTCCCTGATCCCAAATAAACTGGCAACCTGCTGACATTGCTATCCCAGCCTCCTCTCACAGAACCATAGAAAGGTTTGGGTTGGAACAGACCTTAAAGGTCAACTAGTTCCAACCCCCCCAACATGGACACCTATATAAGAACTTCAGACAAGAATTTCACAATGATTTAAAGTTTATATAAAACTAGGATCTATTTATTATCACTATCTTAACTCAACAGCAAATTACACGTTCTCAAAACTACCACCACTCCACTGTGTAAAGCTGAGGCATCATCCAGTGATAACAGGTGGGTGCATGCATGTTGGGTTCAGAAGAACACCCCTTTGCTTCAGGTATGAAATGCTATTCATCCTGTGAAAAATGCACAAGTCACATCTACTGCAGCCTAGCACCAATATTTACAGGAAGAGCAGGTAAGGTTGGTCCAAACCTAGGAAAGTGGTGTGAAGAATTGCTTGTGACACCTGCCAAAAATCAGACAGGACAAAGCAGTGAAAACAAACACCAAGGAACGCTTCTGCTCTCGCAGGAGAATAAACACAAGAATCTCACTGAAGTTGAAGTGATTGTTTTCCTTCTAAATTTCTGAATTTTGTACCAGACCTCAGAAGGCTGAAAGACATCCTATAAACATCTTTTTTCTCTATGAAGGACTTCAGCAGAAATGAAACGTCTATCCTAATGGTCATTCCTATTGGATTGTGGGAGAGGCTCTCTGCAGGGGCAGCAAGAACTCTGTTGACTGGATCATTTAAAATTCTAATGGGCAAACCAGAGAAGATAGTATTGTAGAGAGCAATCAAACCCACAACAGCCCGATTGTTCAAAGTATAAACAGAGAGGTTTTATCAATAGCCACAATGTGATGAGAAGTTCCTAAAACTTTATTAATCAAAGAAATTCATCTGCCAGAGAAGACTGATTTGTACCACAGCTCCTAGAAATGTTCTAATTATATTTAAAAGAACAATGAAAAACACATACACACATGGAATGTGTCATGTAGAAAAAAATATATAAAAAATGACTAAGCACCACAAGTCAGACTCAGTTTTGTGGTCAGCTGCAAAAGTTACTTGGCTCTCTGTCATGGATAGCTGTCATAGTTTAACAAAACATTGATCTAAAAATGACAAGAACTTGGTTGCAGTCTCTTTCATAGAAGAAACATAAAACAAGAAGAGTCAAAACATATGTAGAACAGCCTGACCATGTTTGCCAGAACTCCTCCCACTACTACACAAGAGTGAAGCAAAACCTTGGAGGGTCTGAGAAATAAAGACATTCTGATATATTTACCTATTCCCCTCTAGCCTCACCACTCCCATCTTGTACTGGATCATGGTACCAACGCTCAGGGTGCACCTGAGACCATGAACACGCCTCCACTCCTGAAGGACTCCACAGTTCTTCCAGAATACTGCGAATGCTGGGCATATGGCAACGGATCCCTCCTCCCCCTCTTTGAGACATCCTTTTGGCTGGGGTATTTGGCAAGCACTGACGGTACTCTGAACTCTGTTAGAATTGTATTTTGGCAAGAGCCGTTTTTCCGATTGCATAATTCAAGGTTAGCAGCTTCACTGAAGCAGTCCACTCTTCACTTTGCTAC